CTTACGAGTCAGTTGTCTACATTGCTGACTATTTTGCTAATAATTCTGAACGATTGATTCCTTATGCTGGTCCAGGACATTGGAATGATCCGGATACGCTGCTTTTAGGTAACTTTGGATTAAGCTATGAACAAAGTAAAGCTCAATTGGCAATTTGGGCTGTTCTTGCTGCTCCATTTCTTCTGTCAAATGATTTAAGGACAATTACGCCTGAAATTAAGGAACTGATTCTAAATCGTCAAATTATTGCTGTTGATCAAGATCCATTGGGGATTCAAGGAAAGCGATTAAGTTCTATTAATCGAATTGAGACATGGATACGACCAATATCACCAATTGTTAATGATGAGCATTCATATGCTGTAGCATTTGTATCAAGAAGAACTGATGGACATGGATATGCCTTTAAATATTCATTAGAGGAACTTGGATTGACGAACGTGTTTGGATATGAAGTCAAGGACTTGTTTGATTCAAAACGTGAAACATTTAAGGTGGCTTTAGGCGATAAGATTGAGGATAGAGTCAATCCAACTGGTGCTAATTTCTATAAATTCACTCCGATTACAAAAAGAGATTTGAGGAAAATGTTATAAATTTAAATATTTTGTGAATAAATTGCTTTGATTTAACTTTATTCTTGATATTTGGTTCTTAGTTCTTGGTTTTTGGTCATTGGTCCTTGATCCTTTTTCCTTGGTCCTTGGTCCTTGGTTTGGTTCTTGATTACTTGATTCTTGGTTCTTGGTTCTTGGTTCTTGGTTCTTGGTTCTTGGTTCTTGGTTTTTGGTTCTTGATTCTTGGTTCTTGGTTTTGGTTCCTGTTTCTTGGTTCTTGGTTCTTGGTTCTTGGTTTTTGGTTCTTGGTTTTTGGTTTTTGATTCTTGGCTCTTTGTTCGTGGTTCTTGATTCTTGATTCTTGATTCTTGATTCTTGATTCTTGGTTCTTGGTTCTTGGTTCTTGGTTCTTGGTTTTTGGTCCTTGGTTCTTGGTTCTTGGTTCTTGGTTCTTGATTCTTGGTTCATGATTCTTGGTTTTGGTTCTTGGTTCTTGATTCTTGGTTCTTTGTTCTTGGTTCTTGGTTCTTGGTTCTTGATTCTTGATTCTTGATTCTTGATTCTTGATTCTTGATTCTTGGTTCTTGGTTCTTGGTTCTTTGTTCTTGGTTCTTGGTTTTTGGTTTTTGGTTCTTGGTTCTTGGTTCTTGGTTCTTGGTTCTTGGTTTTTGGTCCTTGGTTCTTGGTTCTTGGTTCTTGGTTCTTGGTTCTTGGTTCTTGTTTCTTGGTTCTTGGTTCTTGGTTTTTGGTTTTTGGTTCTTGGTTCTTGGTTCTTGGTTCTTGGTTCTTGGTTCTTGGTTTTTGGTCCTTGGTTCTTGGTTCTTGGTTCTTGGTTCTTGGTTCTTGGTTCTTGATTTTTGGTTCTTGGTCCTTGGTTCTTGGATCTTGGTTCATGGTTCTTGGTTTTTGGTTCTTGGTTCATGGTCCTTAACTCTTGGTTCTTAGTTCTTAGATCTTGGTCCTTAATCATGGTTCTTGGATCTTTGGTAAATGAGAAACCTAAGAATTTAGAAAAGTTTAATAATCAGCCTGACAAATTGCACATTGGAAATCCCAAATAGTAAATAAACAACAACAACAAAAATTATTGATAAAAATTGCCTAATTTTGCTTAGTTCAAGTGGTTTTTACTTTTATCTAATCAATTAGGAAGTAACATCTTATGATTATTTTCTTTTGTCTGTAAATAATTTTAATTTCAGTATTAATCGAGTGTTTGTTCAGTGCAAAAGCAATAAAATGCTTCTTAAATGTTTAATTTTATTAAGTTTAAAGCTCCTTGTTATTTCTGCTCAGCAGTCGTCACCACGTTGTAGTTTTGCGATTCAAAACGGAACTTATGTGTGCAATTTACAGATACAAAATAATGACACTGAAGCTGACTTTTCAGTAATTGAAGGAGATCATCTTGAAGGTTTGTTGGGATTTTATTTATTATTAAATTTGACTTAAATTTCTAAATCGATTTAAATCCAGGTTACAATGACTCGAGTGTTCAACTTCTTCGTGCATCTCAACAGACAACCTTCAACATCCCTTCTATAATTTGCAGACAATTTTCAAACATAAAAGAGTTAATTGTGATTCTTTCACAAGTTCAAGTCATAACACAAAGTTCATTTGCTGGATGTTCCGTCCTTGAGACTCTTAAGATCTATTACAACACAATTACAGACATTCCTCCTTATACATTCATCAATAATCCATTATTAAGCTTTGTTGATATCGCCAGCAATAGAATCACTAGACTAGAACCAGGTGTATTTAGAGGAACATCTGTTAAGTCTTTAAGTATTGATGAGAATCAGTTAACAACTTTTGATGGCTCTTGGCTTGCTGATATTGCTGAAAGTCTAACAATTTTAAATTTACGGAAAAACCTGATCACTGCACTTCCATCACAAGCCTTCGTTCAGCTCAGGAATCTTGAATTTCTTGATTTAGATTCTAATCAGCTCAGTGACATCCCACCTGATGCTTTTGAAGGACTTCATAGTCTTCAAGATCTTGTCTTTTACAGCAATCGATTGACAAGTCTCCGACCTGAATGGTTCAACACTCTAGACAGCCTTCAGCGTCTCAGACTTGAGTACAATGCGATTCAGGAACTTCCAGTTGGAATATTTTCATCAAATAATCAGCTTCAAAAGTTGTGGATGTCAAATAATAACATTAAGGTTATTGACTCTAATGCATTTGGAGATTTGCAGAATTTGGATGGATTTTATTTTGAATTTAATTCAATTGAAGCCATCGATGAGAGATTTTATGATCGAGCTGTAAATTTATTCAGTGAGTTGAATTAACCTATACCTAACCTATACCTAACCTATACCTAACCTATACCTAACCTATACCTAACCTATACCTAACCTATACCTAACCTATACCTAACCTATACCTAACCTATACCTAACCTATACCTAACCTATACCTAACCTATACCTAACCTATACCTAACCTATACCTAACCTATACCTAACCTATACCTAACCTATACCTAACCTATACCTAACCTATACCTAACCTATACCTAACCTATACCTAACCTATACCTAACCTATACCTAACCTATACCTAACCTATACCTAACCTATACCTAACCTATACCTAACCTATACCTAACCTATACCTAACCTATACCTAACCTATACCTAACCTATACCTAACCTATACCTAACCTATACCTAACCTATACCTAACCTATACCTAACCTATACCTAACCTATACCTAACCTATACCTAACCTATACCTAACCTATACCTAACCTATACCTAACCTATACCTAACCTATACCTAACCTATACCTAACCTATACCTAACCTATACCTAACCTATACCTAACCTATACCTAACCTATACCTAACCTATACCTAACCTATTTATGCTTAATTTTCTTATCGACTTCATTTCAGATCTTTATCTTTACTCCAACAACTGCACATCAGGATTCTTCACAGGAGTCAACAATACACGAGCAGCAGTTCGAAATGCCCTTCGACCATGCTTTGATAATTTTGTTCCAGCAAATAATGGCTCAATATCGTGTGAATATGATGTCAACGAGGACATTGGATACACTTGTACAATGTTGATTGATAATCCATTGGGAATTGAGTTTCAAGTGATTCCTGGTGATCATGTGCCTAGCTTTGGCGATGACAATGTGACAATGCTACAAAGTTATTTGCAGAGAACCTCAATTGTGCCTTCAATTCTATGCAGAAAGTTTGTGAATTTGCAGTTTATTTACATCGCAATGTGCAGAGTTGAGGAACTAAGCCGAGAAGCATTTGAGAACTGTTTAAATTTGGAATATTTAAGCCTTGACTTTAATGATGTGCAAGCCATTCCAGACAACACATTTTCATCGTCACCAAAACTGAACACGTTGAGCTTCTTTGTCAATAAAATTACAGAAATTGGACCAAATGCATTTACAGGAACAGCATTAACTTATTTAAATCTTGGAAATAATCAAATATCAAGCATAAATCCAGTGTGGTTTGAAGACGGTCGTGGAGATTTGCTGAGATATCTTCTTTTAGATTCAAATGACATTAAGGAACTGCCAAGCAATGGATTCTCAACTTTAAGGAACTTAACTGAACTTATTGTAACCAGCAATCCATTAGAGGACATAGCAAGTGATGCATTTGCTGGCCTTGAAAATCTTGAAATATTAAATCTTGGAGGATGTCAGCTTAAAAGTTTAAATCCACAATGGTTCAATGACTTGACTAATCTTCAAAGATTTTATGTCATGCAAAATGAGTTGACAGACCTTCCAGCTGACATCTTCAACAATGTCACGCACCTGAATGTCGCTAATAATCAACTGCAAGCTATCAACGCTAATTCATTCAGCAATGTCAACAACTTAGTCGTCCTTAATGCTCAAAATAATGAAATTAATGAAGTTGATCCAAATTTGTATGATGCAGAGTCGCTTTATACTTTACAGCTCCTTAACAACGAATGTGCATCAATAAATATTGTGAATTTGCCACTAAATCGAGAATTTTATCGAGATCGGTTCGAGCTATGCTTTGAGAACTTTATGCTTGAAAATTTTGGGTTTATTGAGTGCCAATACACGCAAGTTGAAGTCATCGGGTACCACTGCATCATGTCTATCTATAATGTTCGTGGAAATGACAATTATGAGGAAATTGAAGGCGAGCATCTTGAGAATTTTGGTAATTCAGATGTGGTTTATCTTGAAGCTTATCAGCAACAGACAACAATCATCCCGTCCATAATTTGTAGACAGTTTGTGAACCTTCAAATGATTTATTTTGGATTTAATGGAGTTGATGAGCTTTTTGCTGGGAATTTTGATGAATGCAGGAATTTAAAGGATCTGAACATTGAGGCTAATAATGTCAAGATTCTACCTGATTTGATGCTTCATAATTCAGCACATCTACATACTTTTACTGCTGACAACAATCAAATCAGTCAGATAGCTGAAAACGCATTGACTAGAACTAGATTATCAATATTAAGGCTTGAATCGAACCTTCTAACCAACTTCAATGTCAATTGGTTCAATGGAATTAATGAAACCTTGCAGATGCTGACAATCAGGAACAACTCAATCACATCCATGCCGGAAAATGCATTTGAGAACTTAAGGAATCTACAGGAACTAGAAATTGGGTTTAATGACCTTCCAGACATGCCAGATAACATTTTTCAAGGCTTATCAAACCTTTTATTTTTATCACTCTCCAATTGTAATATTCGTGACTTAAAAGCTGCTTGGTTCAATGACTTGACATCTTTAGGAAGTCTGTTCCTAAATTATAATCATTTAACGTCGATTCCGGATGGGATTTTTAGCAACCAACTTGACATGTATGAATTAAATTTCAATGGAAACCGATTAAGTTCCTTGAATTCTGAAGCATATGGGAACTTATCAAGCATCCTGTACATCTCAGCAATGAACAATCGAATCAATTTGATTGACCCAAAGCTTTATGATGAGTCAGCAAATCTTTATAATTTATTTTTATTCAACAACCTTTGCGTGGATGATAATTTCATATCCATCATCAATAATCGTGAGGATACTCGTGAGCATCTGCGGGCATGCTTTGAGAATCATGAGAATGATGGATTTATAGAATGCAACTATATCAATGATGCTGCATATACTTGTGAGTTGACTGTTCAAAATGTTTTGGGAAGAGCGAATCCAGACAGAATTGGTGGACAGCATGTTGACAATCTTGGAGATTCTAATGTTTTATTTGTTGAAGCTTTGTTGCAGCACACAGCATCCTTCCCGTCAATAATATGCAGGCAATTTAGGAATTTATTGTATATTTATATTTTGGAAAGTAAACTTCAGGAACTGACCCAAGAAGTTTTCGAGAGCTGTACAAACTTAAATGCTTTGATTCTTGATCAAAATGAGATTCGAGTTGTTCCTGACAATGTCTTTTCGTCATCACCAACATTATCCTTACTAAGCTTCTTGTCAAATGAAGTCAATCTGATTCAACCAGACGCTTTTGCTGGAACTTCCTTAACTTATGTCAATCTTAATGGAAATCATCTGACAAAAATTGATCCAGGCTGGTTTGAAGGATCACGCAGTAATAATCTAATGTACTTCATGCTGGATTCCAATAATATTCAAACTTTAAGAAGCAATGCCTTCCCGAACCTCCCGAAAATCGTTGAAATTTCACTGTCATACAATCAATTAACAGACATCGCAAGTGATGCATTTGCTGGACTGTCAAATTTACAAATTCTAGAACTTAATAGCTGTGGACTAAAGACTCTTCAGCATCAATGGTTTAGTGATCTTTCTGGATTATTACGGATCTACTTAAATCAAAATAAATTAACTGAACTTCCAGTGGCTATTTTTGGGAACTTAACGCATGTTTATGTCGCTAGCAATCAACTTCAAAGAATCGACGCGAATTCATTTACAAGTTTAAGCAACTTGATCCTTTTTAATGGACGAAACAATCAAATTAATAAAATAGATCCTGTATTTTTTAATGATACACAGTCAATGTATAACTTACAGCTAAATGGGAATATTTGTGTGTCAATTGATGTCATGAACTTAGCATTAAATCGAGAGTATTATAGGCCATTATTTGAACAGTGCTTTAGCAATTTTGAGGGTACATATTAACTAGGGATTGAATTAATGTTAAGGGGAGAACAACTAGCTGTAAAATAATTAAAAATAAAACAGTTGTTAAATGATTTGAAATTCGTCGTAAAAAAGTTATGAAACCAGTCCAGGGCCCAGTTTAGAATGGTTTCTGGAGCCAGTTAAGAATGGTTTCTGGAACCAGTTTAGAATGGTTTCTGGATGCAGTTTCAAATGGCTTTTGGAGCCAGTTTAAATGATTTCTAGAGCCAGTTTAGAATGGCTTTTGGAACCAGTTTAGAATGGTTTCTGGAGCCAGTTTAGAATGGTTTCTGGATGCAGTTTCAAATGGCTTTTGGAGCCAGTTTAAATGATTTCTAGAGCCAGTTTAGAATGGCTTTTGGAACCAGTTTAGAATGGTTTCTGGAGCCAGTTTAGAATGGTTTCTGGATGCAGTTTCAAATGGCTTTTGGAGCCAGTTTAAATGATTTCTAGAGCCAGTTTAGAATGGCTTTTGGAACCAGTTTAGAATGGTTTCTGGAGCCAGTTTAGAATGGTTTCTGGATGCAGTTTCAAATGGCTTTTGGAGCCAGTTTAAATGATTTCTAGAGCCAGTTTAGAATGGCTTTTGGAACCAGTTTAGAATGGTTTCTGGAGCCAGTTTAGAATGGTTTCTGGATGCAGTTTCAAATGGCTTTTGGAGCCAGTTTAAATGATTTCTAGAGCCAGTTTAGAATGGCTTTTGGAACCAGTTTAGAATGGTTTCTGGAGCCAGTTTAGAATGGTTTCTGGATGCAGTTTCAAATGGCTTTTGGAGCCAGTTTAAATGATTTCTAGAGCCAGTTTAGAATGGCTTTTGGAACCAGTTTAGAATGGTTTCTGGAGCCAGTTTAGAATGGTTTCTGGATGCAGTTTCAAATGGCTTTTGGAGCCAGTTTAAATGATTTCTAGAGCCAGTTTAGAATGGCTTCTGAAACCAGTTTAGAATGATTTCTGCAACCAGTTTAGAATGGTTTCTGGAACCAGTTTTCAATGGTTCTGGAACAAGTTTACAGTTGTTCTAAAATCTTTACAAAGTGGTTCCAAAACCATTTAATGGTTGCCAACCCGATTTGAAATGTTTTTTTTTTAAATAAGTATTAAATGTTTTACAAAATGCTGTTCTTCCCTTGGTTCAAGCTAAATAAATAATAAAGAATTAAAATTAATTCAATCATATTCATTACTGTACAAATAAATATAAATTGTAACCTACAAAATCTATATTTTACCACAAAGTAGCAATTAAAATGTTCCAAATTAGTAAATAAAATTTATTCAACTTAAATAATCAATTTAATTCAATCACATTTAATCTCAAGTCTATAACAATTTTGATGATCTTCCTTACTCCACGAAACGACCTTTGCCAGCGGCTTGTCAGTCTTCAAATGTGCTGTAAATGCCTCGCTTATTTTTGTTGGTGAAAACTTCGAGAACAAGACAACTTTTGTTGCATTTTCAGCATCCTGAAATTCAACTTGTAAATTTTTGACTTCTTCTCGTTCTCTCAGTGTTGTGTTTGTTGAGGTTATGAGTCTAGCTTGAGGCTGGAAGTTTCTAGATTTCGGATTTAATTGCTTGCAGATGTCCTCGATTTCAGATTGTGTTGGTGGTGATGATTTTGGGAAGCATTTTGTGTGCCAGAGTCCCATTGTTTGTTGGTAAACTTCATAAAAGTCACTGAAATATTTTCAAAATTTAAGTTTGTACTGGGAAGTGATGCTTCTCGGGTTTAATCTTGTTTTTATACTAGTTTTGCTAAAATAAACCCAAGAAAGCAGTTAAATTAAGTGAATACCTTCCAAGTGATCCATAAAATCCCCAGCAATGCTTCTCGTCTTCTCCATTTGGACAATCTATTTTCTTATCACACACAACCTCATATGGCACGCAATGCGGTGATCCTTTGCACATAAATTTCTTACGACCTCCTTGATTGCATTTAGACTGACAAAAGTTGACATCCTCATCACTTCTATCCCAACAATGAACGATTCCGTCACATATCTTTCTTGGATTTGTAGCAAGTAAATACTCATAGCATGTACATTCACTAGGCTCGTCAGTTCTATCTCCACAGTCGTCGATATGATCACAGAATTTAGATTTGTCGACACATCTTCCGTTCCTGCATTTGATGCTTTTTATTGGTGAACACAGCGAGTTTTTCCTCTTGATTTTATCACATGCTTGTGGAGTTTCATCACTTCCGTCATGACAATCTTGGATTTTGTTACAGACTTGTGATTCATGCAGACATTTACCGAAAGGACATCGATGAGTTGGACAGGGAAAATCAGATGATTTGTATTTGCAAACTTTGCATGTTGGGCTGTCTGAGAGATTGATTAATAAGGAATAATAGTTAAAAACTTGGTTTTTATAAGGCTTACCTTCATATTCAGCAATGTCAGAGTAAATATGCCCACTTTTCAGATCAAAGACACAAACTGGATCTACGAAATCGCAAAATCCTTTCTTCATTTTATGGAATGCTTTTGGATACCAATCGCTGGTGTTAGTTCTGCAGACAATTGTTGCAATCTTATGAGATGCTGTAAATAATTTAAAGTAATTCATTAGAGCTAGTAAATTCCTTTGTAGAGCTCATCTCTAACTCTATACCCTATCCCATCCCATACCTTATTCCATCCCATACCCTATCCCATACCCTATCCCATACCCTATCCCATACCCTATCCCATACCCTATCCCATACCCTATCCCATACCCTATCCCATACCCTATCCCATACCCTATCCCATACCCTATCCCATACCCTATCCCATACCCTATCCCATACCCTATCCCATACCCTATCCCATACCCTATCCCATACCCTATCCCATACCCTATCCCATACCCTATCCCATACCCTATCCCATACCCTATCCCATACCCTATCCCATACCCTATCGCATACCCTATCCCATACCCTATCCCATACCCTATCCCATACCCTATCCCATATCCTATCCCATACCCTATCCCATATCCTATCCCATACCCTATCCCATACCCTATCCCATACCCTATCCCATACCCTATCCCATACCCTATCCCATACCCTATCCCATACCCTATCCCATACCCTATCCCTTCCCATACCATATAAGCTTATACTTACTTTCACTATCACTGCAATACTCCTTAATCTTCTTCTCATTATCCTTATGAACCTTATAACAGTCTTTTCCTGCTATACCTTGGCAGTTCCTTTTAATCTTCAAGGATAAACTTTTCAGACTCTTCTTAAATCCAGCAACAGCAATAGCCATACATTTATCATCATCCTCTTCAATTTCATTCTGAATAGGAAGGAACAGAGGCAGCACATGCCTATTAAAATGGAAATGCTTGTCAAGATGAAGAAGCATCGCATTTGAATCATTAACATGATGAAGGCAATCAACTTTTGATGTTTGTTCGTATGGACTTTGAATTTTGAGGAAAGACTTGGCATTTCCAACAAGTGCTGACACGTAATTGAGTTTTAGTGGATTTTCGTCATTGCCTAAAATTGACTTTTCAGCCAAAACCCAAGATTTATCAACTAAAATTCCAACGCCAGCAAGATCTCCATTTGAGTAGATTTCGACAGTCCATGGCGAGTAGAAGTCATTTAGGTGACTCCAAATGTGAACATTTTGAGGTTTTAAGAAGGTTGAATTTCCAGAGACAGGAACTAGCTTTTGATCAACATTTGAAATTGTTGAATTTTTATCTGCAAAACTGGACTTCTTAAAAGGCGAGCATTCAACTTCCAAAGCCAAACATTCATCAACATCATTGGAACCAACTCTAACCGAACTTTTGATCATTGACTTTGCACTTGGGTGACTTTCTCGTCGTCTTATGTCTATGTCCATATATAAGTCATTATTTCTCATGGCAACAACTCGAGCACTTTTAAGTGACTTAAATCCAATTATATTGCAAATGTCTGTTCCTATGGAAACTGAATTCTTTACAAAATCTCCATTGTCATCGCACATGAGCTTCCAACTTGAATTCATATTTCGAGTAACGATTCCTTTTGAGTGCAGGTATGGCTTGTTGTTGATGTCTAAGCTGATTGAGTGACCGTCGGTAAGGGCAACTGTTGGGAGATACATTTAATTGTATTTTAGAGTCAATCACAAAAGATGTAGTAGGGTTGAATTCAGGGGGGGAGTAGAGGGGGTTGAGGGTTAACCCCTCAAAACCCATTTTAAGAAAATTTTGTTTATTTTGATAAAAAATTTGAGAAAACCCCAAAACGCTTCCCCCCATTAGCTAGGCCCCTGGTGCACTCAGGACTTTTTTAAGGCAGCCTAACCTCATTGAATTTTTATGACATCATTTGTGAATGACCCTGTTATACATAATTTATGAATTAATCATGTCTACTTACCACAATGCATCTAAAAATAGTTAAAATTAAAAAAAATAAGAATTAATTGTTTTTCTGAAGTATAAAAATATCCAGGGGGACAACAACTTGATGAGGAAAATTTTAATGAAAAATCAAAAATTCAAAGTAATCCCTCACAAGTTGATTTAAGTTCATAATTTCAATTTCTTTCACCAAACAGTTAACCCTCTTAGCAGGCGCGTAGCCAGGAGGGTATTGTCCCCCTATCAAGTGCTTTAGGCCGTGCTCGTGCTGCGGTTCAAAATGTTTAAGGGGGGACAAGACCCTCCTGGCTACGCGCCTGCCTCTTAGAAACCTGATCTTACCTCATCTTCTCCAAATTTACAGTCTAGATTCCCATCACACTGCTTGTCCCAGCTAACGCAAGTCTTTGATTTTGAGCAAGAAAATTGAGTGTTATTGCAGTTAACTTTAATAGAAAAAAATAAATAAAGTTTTTAACTGTTTTTTAAAAACTCAGATCGACAAATAAGTTCAAATTGATGAGGTACGATCAAAACCAGGTAACCTTGGTGGCACCATAGTAGCTAATCGCACTGTACTTTGATTTATGTAAGCAACCCCTTCAATTTGAACCTCTTTAATTGCTAATGAAATAATCAAATTTTATACTTACAACAGTCAACTTCATCACTTGAATCAGCACAGTCCACATGTCCATCACATATCAATTTAGCGAACGGTCCTTTCAAGTGATCCTTGCATTTACAATTAAGCTCATCTGTTCCATCTTCACAGTCAAAAGTTCTATCACATCGGAGGTCAATGTTGATTGTTTGTGGGATTCTGAAGTGGAGAAAAATGAAATTTTGGGATTATAAAAATGCTAAAATTACAATTAAGGGTACTGTAAGCTTTAGTGGACCCTAGTGGCACCATTGGCGGGTTTTAAGAGCAAACCTTAGTGCTAATTTGAAAATTAATGCAATCATCAACCAAGTTCCAATGAAATTAAGCTATGAAAAGGAGATGGTACCCCAAATAGACCTAGAAATCATTCCAGAATTGCTAAAAGTTCAGTGTGCCGCGACACACAGTTTGGACAACACTGCTCTTTCTGTCCTTCCATTTAGACTACAATCCCAACAGTCAACTCAACAATTGACCCGTGTTTATCATTAACTAACCTTGAGCACCTAAAAACTTCACTTTTCAGCTCCTTCTTCGACACTTTCTTACTCTCAACGTCATTAACAATCTTATTAGGATCAATGCCACTCGTTGTCTCATTTTTATCATTCTTACTTCCAACAAGCATCAAATCCATCCAATTAAGTGGACAATTGACTTCATCTTCACCACCAAGACAGTCCACAGCTCCATTACACTTTGATGCTTTAGGGATGCATTTAGGAATGCCCCAAACGCAGTTCATGCCTGGACAGTTTTCTCTTGGAGTGTTAAATGGAAGTTGTTTGAGTGCATTTGTGGTTTCTTCAATCCAATTAAGGTATAAAGAGGTTCTAGTATAGACGCCTGGTTCATTAGCACGAGCACATCCTTCACCATGCGATACAATTCCTAGTAAATACCATTCTGATGGATTTGCAAAGCCTCGGCAGACTAGTGGACCTCCAGAATCACCTTGACATGCATCTTTCTCCCCATCCTTCTCACCAGCACAGACACAACCACTTTCCTCATCATTTTGATACTTGCATTTTGAGAGAATTGGAACATCAACGACTTGAAGCTCGTCAGCTGGAATTGACCAAAAATTAAGTATTTTACATATTTTTAGTAACTTAATAGCTTACGATCTGGTCCCTTCTCCCTTAATGCACCCCATCCTAATGTCGTACAAATGCTTCCTGCTTTTGGTCCATAAATCCATTCTTTAGTTCCAGTTCTATCCACAGTTGGCATACAAATCGGTCTAACCCATTTGTTAAAATTAAATTGATCCTTAACACGCATCAATGCTATGTCATGCCTCAGTGTTGACCGGTCGTACTGTTCATGTGGTATGATATGAGTAACATATGTGATTTGAATCATTGGAGAGTAGCTTGAACGACGAAGGAGACCAGCTCTGACTTCATAATGGTGAGATTCGAATGCTCGAGTGCAGTGAGCAGCTTTAGATTGAGGAAGATATCAAATTTTGATTTTGAGGTTAGGTCGAGGGGACAACAACATGATGGGAAAATTATTTAATTTAAAAATCCAAACAAACATTCAATTATTTCCTTCAAATTTAGATTGAAACATTAATTTGACAATTTTCCCATAATGTTGTGTTCCCCCTTGAAAAAATTTGAATCCAAGTAGTGAACAAATTGATGACAAGTAATTCAAAAATTTCTAATAATTAAAAAAACCAAATAGGTTAATATGGTGGTTCTTGGCAAAATTTATCAAGCTCATCATGCTGTTTCCCCCTTGTATTCAATTGAAGTCTTAAAACAGGTTTCTTTAGATACTTCAAGCACTTGGGCCCTTCAAAACCATCGACATTTTGAGTTTATTAAATAATGTTCTTAGAAGTCTATTAAAACTGACTTCAGGGGGATAACAACTTAGTGAGAAAATAAATTGTAATATTTTTATAAATTTACGATAACAAATTTTAAGTAAATTTTTTCAATTTTTTTTTCCAACCAAGCTGTATTCCCCTTGAATAAATCCAAAAAATTAAATCAACTCACCGGTCAAAATCCATTTTTCATTGTAAATACTTCCACCACAATGGAACCTGCCATCTTTAAAAATAGCAACAATAAATGGAAATTCTCCAGGAAGTGCTGATGATCCACCGACAATTCTAGCAGCTTGAACCAATTCGTCAGCTTCTCTTTTATTTCTTGTGAATTTTTCAGCATCGATTTTGGAAACTCCACATTTTGGCTGTCCGCATTTGACATAAAAGACACTATTTTCATCATTATTCATCAGTGCTTTTCTCATCCTGCAGACATCACTAAATGTTGGTGCTTCAATGCCACTTTCAGTTGAATGGATGAAAGGTCCAGAAATTTGTCCATTTTTGATACTTAACATTGGCTCATAATTTACTTTTCCAACTTCACTTTCGCATGCCTCAATTGCCCATTTCATTGGATTCTTACAGACTGGATACCAACGTCCTTTATAATTCCGATGTAAAATTCCTTCAGAATGTGATGTAAAGTATGAATTTACAGCTCCAATTTGCTGTACAATCATTGAACATTCAGTTTCATCCTTTCCATTATAGCAGTTATTGAATCCATCGCATTTCTCAAGTGACGAGTAGCACATCATCTTTGATGGATTGTCTTCATAATCTTTACGATTTTCATAGCATGAATATTGAAATTTGTCACATCCAAAACAGCCGAGCTCATCAGTTCCCATTGGGCAGTCAATAAATCCATCACAAATTCGACTCTCGTGAAGTCGTGCCTTACAGGAACAAGCAGTCTCATCACTCGCATCAACACAATCGACTTTTGAGTCACACCATTTTGATTTAGAGATGCATTGATTTGTGCTAAAGCATGGAAGCTTGCCTGGTTCACAATTGTGATGCGATGATTGATTCATGTTGAATATTTGACTTGGGTATGTGGCATAGATGATGTCGTATTGTGATGGGATGTTGTGTGGATTAAGATTGTCTGAAATAAATGAGGTATGAATCACTTATTGACTTGAAGGGTTGAAAATAAGGGGTAGGAAATAAAGGGTAGGAAACAAGGGGTAGAAAACAAGGTGGAGAAAAGAAGGGGTAGGAAATTTTAATAACTCAACATACGATTTCTCTCATCCCTTCCATCATCATCTCCTGTTTTCCTATTCCAAGTTCCACTCGGCTTTCCACTTGGTGGTGCGGCTGTTGTCGTTTGCTCATAATAAGCAGGCAATTGTGCGCTCTCAGTTGGCATAAAAGCACAAAACGTCGGTTGCCCAATTGCTTCACGATAATTTGGATATCCTTGAAAGTTTTGCATCATCGGTTGTACAGGAACTGGTCGTGGTCCCATGAATTGTCCACCAGTTGGCATGAACACACCTAAAATTATCAAAAATTAAGAAAAATTTAGTTTTAGAAATTTTCAAACAACCATTTAGTCGAATATATTCAGGCGCAATCAAGCTTCCATTAAGATCATTACCTCCAGGCTGTGTATGCATCATTGGCATTTGCATTGGCATTGGCATCATTTGTGGATAAGCGTATGGCTGAACTTGACGATATTGTTGATGATAATTAACGAAGCAAACTGGATATGGCATGAGGCTGTAGCCTGGATTCATGAAAACTTTTGAAGTTGCCTTCATTGTCTCACCAGTTGTTGGATATACGACTGGAGCATTTGCAAAGCCTGAAAATTGCATTGGAGCGAAATTTTGTTGAGCTTGTCGATTTTCTGCTTCTGATCTTGTATTTGAAGCTATTGTCTGCATTCCATCGTCAATTATGTCATGCAGTAAGTGAGCAACTCCGTCCAAAATTTCATTTCCTGTAATTTTACCTTCAATTCTTTTGTCAAAGCTTGGCTCATGATCGTAAAGTTTTGTTGATAAATATCTCTCATCTTGCAGTTCGTCGACAAACTTTGGAGGTTTATTGACCGAACTGTCAAATGCTGGAGCTGGACATGCTGTTATTGGCTCATTATCTGAGACTGGGAATTTACTGATTGTTGGATTATTCAGTTTTGATGAGATTTCATCTGGAATTGTAAAGGAACGAAGTTTAAGGCACAGTTGTTAAGGATGTTTTCAGTTCTTATCCTTGACTACTTAAAGTTAAGATTGGCTTGATTTGTACCAAGATCACAATCTGATAGTTTTTTTCAATAAAAAACCAAGGGGATAACAACATGTAAGTTTTGATTGCGAATTTTCTCTCTTCTTTGAACAACCGAAAGGTTTTTTTTCCCTAAGTTTAAATCAAAAAATTCAAAACCTCAACCCTAATTCATACACAAATATAATGCAGGGGGATAAAAACCCATTGGAAAAAATAAAAATAATAATAAAATTATAAAAAGTGCTGAAAACGATTAAAAATATGCAAAAAAAAAGTTTAAAATTCCCAAAAAGTTTTTTCACAAAGTTGTTATCCCCCTGATTTATCAAAACTTCTTAATTTACCTTTTCTTTCATTCACTATTCCAACTTCACTTCCTTCAGCTGATTTATGCATAATCTTTGTCTTTTTGCTATCCTTTTTGATGTGAACTTGTTTATGGTTGTCTTTGTGATCCTTCTTTATGATCTTCGTTGACTGATGCTTGTCTTTATGCAACTTTTTGTCATGATCTTTGACAATTGCTTTTGTTTTCTTCTTCTTTTTTGGTTGTTCTAAAATTTCGCCATCTTCTAAAGACAATTGCTCACCAATCAATGGTAATTCTTCATCACTATCGCATCCTGTGTCAATAAGGTGATCAGGTTGGGTAAAATAATGTAAATAAATAAAAATAATAATGTTTAAGCATTCTTGACTAGGTTGTACATCGACCAGGCGCGTAGCCAGGGGGGATTTGCCCCCTTCTTTTTGAAACTCGAAAAAATCCCCCCCCCCCAAAGTTTTCCATACAAAAAATGCCCCCCCCCCCCTCTTCAAATTCTTGGCTACGCCCCTGCCATCGACTAATGGCAAAAAAGCGGGCAAGTTTGAAAATTTTCTACAAAGCAGGAGACAGAGGGTAAGTCAATAAATCGAGGCTTTCACGACTTAGTTTAGTGTTGCTCTAACTTATCAAGCCACAGAGTTTTAAATCATTTTCCCGTGCTTGTGCACCACGCTGGCGCTGGCAACCACTTTTTAGTCAGGAGCTAGAGCTCTGCAGAGCAAAGTTTGAGAAAAAGGCCCAAGTTGGACAGCCTATGGATGACGTCTATATAAAATAGTGTTAACTGGCCGTTCATAGGTTTTTACCGATTTTTGGTCTGAAAGCGGGTCATGTCTAGGATGACCAGATAAATTTTGAAAAATAGAGGACATCCAACGTTTCTATCAATTTTATTTAATTTTTGAAAGATTACAAAATAAAAAATGTCCACTGAAAAACCAAAAAGATGGTCAGCCTTGATATGTCCCGATTTCAGGTATGAAAAAGTTGAACAGGCCAAATTTTCAAGCACTTTCCAAGAAAAATGATTCAAAAAAGCAGGAAATTAAGAATTTAGCTGAGATTTTGTTCAAAAAAATTGGCAGTTGGACAGCCTGGTAGTAGCAAGCAAGTGTAGCATTCAAGAAGAGGGTTCGGTATAGTATGCAAGGTAGGCAAGATGTAACGATTTACAAACTCGAATGTTAAAGAAATTATGAGTTTAAAATAAACTCACCCAAATTTTGATTAGATTCAGCATCACTTCTGCTTTCAGTCAATTCCTCATCCTCGTCCTCCTCATCCTCATTTTGACCTCCAACTTCATCGTCTTCCTTTTTTGTTGTATTTTCAGCCGTAGTAGTTTCATCTTCCTCAATCTCCTCTGTTGTTGTCTTAATGTCATCTGTTCCTTGCTCTTTTGATGCTTTTGGCTTCTCTTCAGATGAGTTTTTCTCTTCAGATGACTTTTTTGGCTTCTTTTTCTTCTTTTTGTCTTTTTTCTCGTCAGATTTATTTTCATCACTCTTCTCAGACCTCTCAACAGTTGGCTTCTTATTAATATCAATAACATCCATATCCTTCATAATATCCTCAATCTCCTTAAACTTTCTCGTAATTTCCTTAAATCTCTTCATAACTCTCGAATAAACCTCATCACAATCATTGCTATTTGACTTTTTACATCGAATAAATTCATCGCGAACTTCTTCAAGTTTCTGCTGAATAAGTCGCTTTTCGCGTTTTTTCTCTTCAAGTATCGGCGCACGTCCAAAATTAATTGTGTCAATTTCATGAAGATTGCCAACATTGCGTTTGTGTCGAATGCGTTTGTGAATTGAATTATCGATGAGGTTTGATGTTTCCAGGAGACTAATGATGTCGTCGTCAATTGCCTTCATTTCGGCACTCAAATCGTGGAGATTTTTTTGAATTAAATTTGACGTTTCTTCATCAATTTCGTCACTTTTGAGGTTTGTTATGAAATTTTCGGAATTTTCAAGAGTTTTTTCAAATTTTTCTATCGAATTTTCCAGATTTTCACGACGCGGACGGACTAGATTTTCATTTTTATTAATTTCTCGGTATTTTTCGTTTAAAAGTTTTTCAATTTCATCGTCGTCGGTGATTTTTGCATCTCTTTTGATCAAATTTGATGGACTTGATTTGAAAAAGTCATGTTCGCGGTCTCGAAACTCGTCTTCATCGCTGTCAATTGTCAATTGTCTGGAGATTTCATTATTGACACTTCTTTTGGACCGACATGAAAGCTGTCCTGATAAATGATCGGAGTCGGATGATTCAACTGCTTTTATTACTATTCTTTGATGATGTTGGGAGTTGTAGGCTAGAAAATGGATTTGTTTTAAAATTATTTGACTATTTTAAGGTTTATTTTCAGGCTTTGAGGTTGATTTTATGGGAAAACTCAGGTATCCTGTCATACTTCATCCTCAGAACATTTTAAGATATTCCAGAGGATTCTAACAAAGATGAGCTTTCTAGAATAAAACATAGAGCATGCTAATAGTGATCTTTGTCAGTGATGGTCAACTTATGAGCCTCGGCACGTTAGTATCTCCTAGAAAAAATCAGAAAATCCAATAAGCCGTATGCCATATGCGGCTTCTGTCATGGTTTACCACCAAGGTGTGCCGCAACACAAAAAAGGTTATTTACCACTGGAATAGCACTTAGGTTATCAATGTAATTTTCAAGGCGGTTACCAAAGACTCAATTACACTGACTAAAGGTATTGAACAGATTAAAAGCTTCAACCAACAAGCTACAAGTCAAGCTCAAACTCAGGCGAGCGTCTCAGCCTTGATTCTAGTTTCTATTTGAACAAAATTTCATAAATCTAAAGAAAATTCTTACCTTGATTAATTAAAATCGATCCGAAAAGTGCCAACAATGTTGAAATTATGACAAAAATAATGATCATGACTGTCGTTAAAGTTTGATGCTTCAAATGTGAAACGCATAAAAATTTTAAAAAACTTTTATTGCCATCTGAAAGGAACCGAAATTGTATTAAAAATTCCGATTTAAATGTTTTTCTGGTGCAAGTCAGAAAATTATTTTTTGAATCAATGAACTTAAATGTTTTTAAAAAACTTTTTGCTGACATGAATTGCGTAAAAGAGCACAATTTTAATTATTTTTATATGTCACACACATTATTTGATTTATTTTTGTTTATTTATTAATTGCCAATTTTCAGACGTTATCAAATTTCAATGAATTTTTAAATGAAGCGTAGCCAACAATCGACACTGTTGTAAAAATGGTCAAAAATTCATTTTTTCTCCTTAAAATTTCTAGCTTTTTGAAAATTTCAATTTTTTTTGAATTGTTTTGGAAATTTTTATTATTTTTTTAAATTTTGAAATTTTTCTGGAAGTTTTTTATTATTTTTTTATATATTTAAATTTTTTTGGAACTTTTAATTTTTTAAAAACTTATTTTTTTGAATTCTTTTAATTTTTTTGAACATTTTGAAAATTTTTTAAATGTTTAAATATTTTAAATTTTGAAAATTAAAGAAAAATTAAATGTTTCCGTTTTTATTTAAGAAAGTTAAAATTTTCAAACTTTAAGCACAAAAAAAATTCAATAATAATATAAAGTGTCAAAAATTTAAACTTTTGATTTTTAAAATTCTGAAATGTTTTTTTAAACTATTTAATATAAAATAAAATAATTAAAAAATTGCAGAAAATCTCAAAAAAAACAAAATTTAAGTAAAGATGTTTATTGCGAAAATTCAATTCATTTTTCTTGTAAATGTCGTCATCGACTCAAATTTCAATCCACAAACTTTTAACCAATATTCCCCCAAAAAAAAAATAATAAAAATCACACGCACCGCTGACAATTAATTGTTTTTCACTTTCTTTCATTTTATATTTTCAATCTTGCACTTTGAATTCTTATTTTTTTAACTTCTAGTTAGCTCAATAATTCAATTACAACTGACGAATTTCCAATCGATGGATTTAATAAAAAAAAACAATTAAATTAATTGCAATTTAATTTAAAATTCTAAAGTCAGCAAATTCTTTTAAAAAATTACAGAAGTCCTCGTGTTATTGATCGAGGGACTTAAGCGCATTTTTGTGTTAGCGATCAGTATTTGATTATGTAATTATTTTGCGTTCATTTACAGATCATGAGAAGATTAGAAGATCATTAATTTTAGTGTAATTAACAAAAAGTTACAATGAATGCTTATATAGAAAGGATTATTATTTAACGGTCAATAAATAATTTGAAATTTTGCCGTTAAAAGTTGCACTACGAAAATATTAATTATAGTATAATTAAACAATTTGTTGCAATAAATTTCCATACAGAAAGGGTTTATCATTTAACGGTTTTTTTGTAATTCAAATTTTCTAAAGGTCAATAAATAATTTGAAATTTTCCCGCTATAAGTTGCACTACGAAAAAATTAATTATAGTATAATTAAATAATTTGTTGCAATGAATTTCCATACAGAAAGGATTTATCATTTAACGGTTTTTTTTAATTCAAATTTTCTAACGGTCAGTAAATAATTTGAAATTTTCCCGCTATAAGTTGCACTACGAAAAAATTAATTATAGTATAATTAAATAATTTGTTGCAATGAATTTCCATACAGAAAGGATTTATCATTTAACGATTTTTTGTAATTCAAATTTTCTAACGGTCAGTAAATAATTTGAAATTTTCCCGCTATAAGTTGCACTACGAAAAAATTAATTATAGTATAATTAAATAATTTGTTGCAATGAATTTCCATACAGAAAGGATTTATCATTTAACGATTTTTTGTAATTCAAATTTTCTAACGGTCAGTAAATAATTTGAAATTTTGCCGTTAAAAGTTGCACTACGAAAAAATTAATTATAGTATAATTAAACAATTTGTTGCAATGAATTTCCATACAGAAAGGGTTTATCATTTAACGGTTTTTTGTAATTCAAATTTTCTAACGGTCAATAAATAATTTGAAATTTTCCCGCTATAAGTTGCACTACGAAAAAATTAATTATAGTATAATTAAATAATTTGTTGCAATGAATTTCCATACAGAAAGGATTTATCATTTAACGATTTTTTGTAATTCAAATTTTCTAACGGTCAGTAAATAATTTGAAATTTTGCCGTTAAAAGTTGCACTACGAAAAAATTAATTATAGTATAATTAAACAATTTGTTGCAATGAATTTCCATACAGAAAGAGTTTATCATTTAACGGTTTCTTGTAATTCAAATTTTCTAACGGTCAATATAATAATAATTTGAAATTTTCCCGCTATAAGTTGCACTACGAAAAAATTAATTATAGTATAATTAAATAATTTGTTGCAATGAATTTTCATACAGAAAGGGTTTATCATTTAACATTTTTTTGTAATTCAAATTTTCTAACGGTCAATAAATAGTTTGAAATTTTCCCGCTATAAGTTGCACTACGAAATAATAATTATAGTATAATTAAATAATTTGTTCCAATGAATTTCCATACAAAAAAAGTTTATCATTTAACGGTTTTTTGAAATTCAAATTTTACAACGGCTAGAAATTTTTTGAAATTATAGAGGTAATATTGAAATTATAGAGGTAAAATAAAATTTGAGCAGGTTACACTGAAAACAAAACAAAAATTCATTAATTATAGCATAAATACACTGTTTTAAGATTTTTAAATGTCCGGCGGGCCAATAACTCGATATAACGGAACTAATGCAAAAAACTAGAACTCTCTACGATGTCTAGATTAAAAGTTTTTCTTAGCAGCCGACCAGCCAGCCGACCAGCCGACCAGCCGACCAAAGTGCGTTATTAAGCTACCTTTTTGAAACAAGTTTCAAAAATGCGCTAAAAAGGTTGGAAAGGGATTGATGCTATGCTGCATAATTATTTACAGTCAAAGTGCGTCTATAAAGCATTATTGTGCCAAATTTTTGAGTAACTCCTCAGCTTGATGGTTAATCATAACCAAAATCGCACACGGCGTGCGGCTCGTGATTTTTACTCTCAAAATAATCTTTACTAGTGTGCCGTGAAACACAGGTTAGATAACACTGCTATAAAAAGAAGTATGTCGATGGTGTTGATCTTCAATTTTAAGGAACAACAAGAGCTGATGTGTCTCGGTTGCGGAATGGTTTAGGTTTGGTACTTAATTATTGCAATACTGACACAGTGATCATGGGTTCGAGACTGGGCATGGGAAATTTTATTATTTGTTCTTTTTCTAATCATATGTACGGGAAATGAGGCTCACAGCCTTTCTTTGTAGGCTACAGGCAAAACTGTCATCAAATGAGTGGTTTGGATTCTCGTGGTCGGAGATTGGATGATGAAGGGAATCCATTTTATAACACAAATCTCCCCCCCCCCCCCCCCTCCTCTTCCCAACCATTCATTATGCTGGGCGAGTCTCATAGGACCAACCGAAAATCGGCTGAAAATTCGGTTAAAACTCGGTTTATTTCGGTTCGGTTGAAATTCGGATGGATTTCGGTTGAAATTCGGTTTGATTTCGGTTGGATTTCGGTTGAATTTTTTTGCTTTATGCACCTCGGGCTCATCAATTAATTTTTTATTTTTATTTAAAAAATATATAAAAAAGGTCGTCAATTCTGTATCTTTATTTTAACTGTTTTAATCAAAAATTACAGACCTTAAAAATACGTCATCCAACAGGAAGCACCAACAATCATTTTTAATTGCACCCAAAAATTTTTTTGTTTTCAAGTTTAATTGACGTCAAAAAAAAAGATTTAATTGCTCGTCTATAAAATGAGAATTCAAAGGCAAAAAGTCACTCAGTTTTGATAATTTTGTTGACAAGAACAAAAAAAAGAAGAGAAGTGAACAAAAATGGAGCAGTGCGACTTTTTACCACAAATCATTGACTTCATCATGGGAATTTTCTTTCCGAGTGAGAACCGAGGAGATTAAGACCCGAAAAAAAAAGTATTTGATTGTCAAGTTGAAGTTTTGTGGATGAATTGAATCTTAAAATGTGAAAATTAGTGAAATTTTGACCAAATAACTTAAAATCAAGTTTGTGGAACTGCCAGAACATATTCTAATCACTTCTGCATTCTTGTTTTTAAGCTCAACTTGACAATCAAAGATTAAATAACGAAAAAATTTCATCAAAATTATCCAGAAACTTCATAATAAAACATTTCAGGCAGTAGCGATGATTATGAAAGCTCCGAGTCTGAAACTACGACAGCTAATCCATAAACCATGACAGTGCTCATCTCAAAACCTCAGCAAATTTCATCATTTTCTCTGTAAAAATTATCAATTTATGCAATAAAAGTTTTTAAAATCCTTAATAAATTTTGTCAGTGGCTTGAGGGGTTGTTTGGGCATCAATGGCTAATTTTAAGTCAATTTTGTAATGTTATCAGCATCTCTGAATGGAACAAGGAGTAAAGAAGACAAGAAACAGTGTCATGAAGCCAAAGTGTAGCTGTTGTCTAATTCACATCAAATTCAGCTCCATTTTAACATCAAGTTGACGTCATGGAACATTTTTTGAGTGTTTTGCTATGCTTTGGGTCACTCAACAGCATTATCTGGGGATAAGAACCTTGTCGAATAACTTAAAAAGCAGCAGCCAATCAGTAAGCGGTACAAAAGCTCAATTTGACTATATCCCTTAAATTTTCCTCAATCTTTCCCTTATTCAGGAGCAGCCACTGAATCTTTATTCCAAATCTTAGCTCATTTCGACAAAGAGTCAAAAAGAAGTGTCAAAATAGTCAAATTTTGATGAAAAAAGGAAAAAAAGTATGGATTTCAGTCACTTTCAACAGCAAAGTCTCGGAAAGGAAGTGACCAGTTTCAACTAAAGTCTGCAAAAGAGATGCCACAATTCGAATTGTAATTTTCAGAATTTTTCATTTGCGATTATATGACCCAGAACGGCTACAAAGCTGTCATTACATTAATGATTAACGATAAGGTCATGTCCATTGTGAAATATTTTATGGACAATTATTGCTTATGGCAATGCTTTAGTAAATTTTGCTATTTTTCATTTTAATAGCTTTCGATTATCATTTCATTTATGATTGACATGATTAAAAAATATTGAGTGGAGAGGAGGGGGGGGGGGTGCTAGAGTTCATCCTAGTTCTTTATCTAGGGTTGCCAGATGTTTTTCCATGGAATAGAGGACATCCCACATGTTGACTAATTTTATTTGATTTCTAGAAGAATCGGAACAAGAAAAATTTATAGGGCTGTTCATAAATGACGTCTCTTATAAATCCTTCTCTTTTTGAAATAATTCTTCAATTTTCTACGTTTTTTTGGAGTAGCGGTGAAATGGCATCAGTGGCCTAAATGGTAGAGCGTTGGCCTTCTTACATGATTGAACCGGTTCATGATTATCGATTGATTTCTTTTGATGATGTTAAAGCTTCGAGGTATGAGATTATGACAGATGAGTAGTTTCAATCTAAGATCAAAACTGCTGAATTCTTCATAGCAATAAAATAAAGGATCAAGTTAGTTAAGCAGCTAGAAATGGAACAATACATGGTTGAAATTATAAAGCAGCAGTTTGTGTTTATTAAAACTTGCGATAACGCTGAATACGATATGAGTTACATGCTGAATAATGCACATTCAATGCTAAGCTACGATTAGGTATTGCCCGAAAAAGTTGCAGTCCATTATGTCCAACTAGAAGCGAGCTACTTGAATCCATATTTGCAGCGACTTCAATATTTTATGGATTTATCATTTCAAGTTGGTTTTGCATCACATTTGGGATGTCTATTCTTCTAGAAGATACTGGAAGTCACGCGATTCAAGAGGAAACACAGTTTTTAAGGCTGGAAGATTTTTATCAATTTTTCATAGTTCTGGCTGTTGGATTGGCATTAGCTTCTCTTGCCTTACTCATTGAGATATTTACTCGTGATTGCATAAGGCATTTTAGTTTGAGTGATGTTCAAAATTGGTTTAAGCTTGTTTGTTGCAGTTGTTTTAAGAAGCAGAAGGGTCCAAAAGTAAAAGCCAGGAAGATCATCGTTAAACCTTAAATGGAATGTCACACTGTGCCTAGAATCAACAATGTATAGATGAACTTAAATCATCTTGAATATCAAATCCATTAATTGCTTTACATGTTTTTAAATAAATTCTTTTCATTCTTTACGTCGGTTAAATAACTTTTGTATCATTTTCACTTTATTTAATAATGCAGTGGTTCTCAAACTAAGTTCCTTGAGTCGTATTTTTAATTTTATCGATTAATATGTTCCAAAATGTCAAAAACTCATGCTAGAAACTTATTAAACTTTAGTTGAGAACCACTGACTAAATGAAGTGAACACACACTCGACAAACTGATTATCTAGAAAAATAAAGTAATTGATTCACTTTAAAATGCTCACAATTCCAATAAAAACGTTTCATTTATTTCCATTTTAAAGTGAATTGTATTTGAAAAAAGTCAAATTTAATCGATAAAACATGAAAATTTCAAGTCATTTTATTATTTTGCTGCTTATTCTTATTTTTGGTCCATCAATAGCATCAAGCTTACGATTAAAATCCCTTCAAAACTCTGAAAAATTATCGAACAGCATTTGTAGAATCACAAATGACATGACAAACTCAAAAACATACACACAGGACATCCTTATTGCAAATTTAGGTGGTAAAGGTACATCACCATTAGCTGATGAGATTATAAGGTGCTTAAATGGAGGAAATGCTGTTGTTACTTCGAACTTGAGATCTGTGAATACAGAAATGAACTTGAGAAAGGCTCCGATCATTATTTTAATGTTTAACAAAGTTGACAAGGTAAATTTATGCATTTTATTCAAGGGTGTAGGACAAGATCTAGGGAGGTCCAAAAAGCCAGTCACAAAATTTTAGATTCCCTCACACTATTCAATTAAAATCATAATTAAACCTTCTTTAGATGGACTATATGATCTCAAAAATGATAATCAATCAACACCACTCGTCAGTTTGGAATCACATGGCCAAAATCATTGCTGTTGTCCCAGATTCGTCATCTATTAATAATCGAATAAACATTCTTCAAGTGTTTACATATTACGGATTCCTGAATGTCGCGACTGTTCACAAAACAAGCAGCAATGATGTACAGTACAGCATTGTTAAATCCTTAGCTGGTGATGTTGAATTTCTCACAAATCCTCAAGACAGCAACTCAGTTTTTCCAGATAAGCTCCAAAATATGCACGGATATAACTACAGAGTTGTCCTTTTTCAGCAAAAACCAATCGTTAATCTTTACGATTCAACCAGAGTTCCAAAAATGATGCACTTTTTACATGCAATTAAAAAAATTCAAAATTCGGGGACAACATTTAAAATTTTATCAAACTCGAGTTATTTTGATGGCTTTTGGGAAAATCGAGAAATGGACTTGACTCTAAACACAGCTGTTGTTATTGACATCCAAGAACCTAAGTTGTTGACTTATGAAAAGAAAGGTTACTGCATTATGGCACCAATTCCACAAAAAGTTAAGTTTTCCGACATTATTTTGCATAAACCTTTCGATGGACTCACTTGGATCCTCTTTGCACTTTCAATTGCATGTTCTGTTGCTGTTTGGAGACTCTTTTATGGTCGTGGTGCTGTTGATTCTCACTGGCAACTTGCTGTTGGTATTTTCATGATGTTTATTGGTCAAGGTGCTGATTTCTCTCGAAAAAATCGATTTGTGCTTGCTGTTCTGCTTAATATCATTTGCTTGTCGGTATTCCTGCTTAGTAGCTTATATGAAAGTATCATCACGTCCTACATGATTGAACCAGCTTATGAATATAGAATGAAATCTTTAGATGACTTGCTAGCTTCAAAGTATGAGATTATCATTGATGAATTGTTTGCATCGAAGATGAGAGACGTGGATTCATTTCAAGCCATGAAATCCAGATCAACAATAGTTGTGCATATGGAAAGAGACCAATACATGACAGAAGTTATGAATAGGGTAACCATCTAATTTTCATGTAAATACAGGACATTTGATAAATTTTTTCGAGAAAAACAGGACATAGAGTAAAATTCGAAAATTAACGGAAATTTTCATGAAAAAAATACAGGACCAGGAACAAAATTTAAAAATTTATACAGGACAGTCTTGAAAAATACAGGACTGTCCGTTGAAAAACTACGCAGATGGTCACCCTAGTTATGAAACAGCATTTGGTTTTCTTTAAAATTTGTGATGATGCTGAATACGATATGAGCTACGTGCTGACTAATGGACATCCAGTGTCACACTATTATTACCTTTTACCAGAAAAAGTTTCAATGCATTATGTTCAGCTGGAAGCGAGCTACTTGAATCCATTTTTGGAAAGACTTCAATATTTCATGGATTTATCATTTCAAGCTGGTCTGCATCACATTTGGGATGTCTATTCAACTAGAAGAAATGCTGGAAGTCACGCGATTCAAGAGGAAAAGCAGTTTTTAAGGCTGGAAGATTTTAATCAAATTTTCATAGTTCTGGCTGTTGGATTTGGATTGGCTACTCTTGTCTTACTCATTGAAATATTCACTCGTGACTGCATATGACATTTCAGTTTGAGTGATGTTCATAATTGGTTTAAGCTTGTTTGTTGCAGTTGTTTTAAGAAGCAGAAGGTTCCAAAAGTAAAAGCCAGGAAGATTATGGTTAAGCCTTAAATGGAATGTCACACTGTGCCTAGAATCAACAATATATAGATGAACTTAAATCATCTTGAATATCAAATCCATTAATTGCTTTACATGTTTTTAAATAAATGCTTTTCATTCTTTATGTCGGTTAAATAACTTTTGTATCATTCTCACTTTATTTAATAATGCAGTGGTTCTCAAACTAAGTTCCTTGAGTCGTATTTTTAATTTTATCGATTAATATGTTCCAAAATGTCAAAAACTCATGCTAGAAACTTATTAAACTTTAGTTGAGAACCACTGACTAAATGAAGTGAACACACACTCGACAAACTGATTATCTAGAAAAATAAAGTAATTGATTCACTTTAAAATGCTCACAATTCCAATAAAAACGTTTCATTTATTTCCATTTTAAAGTGAATTGTATTTGAAAAAAGTCAAATTTAATCGATAAAACATGAAAATTTCAAGTCATTTTATTATTTTGCTGCTTATTCTTATTTTTGGTCCATCAATAGCATCAAGCTTACGATTAAAATCCCTTCAAAACTCTGAAAAATTATCGAACAGCATTTGTAGAATCACAAATGACATGACAAACTCAAAAACATACACACAGGACATCCTTATTGCAAATTTAGGTGGTAAAGTTACATCACCATTAGCTGATGAGATTATAAGGTGCTTAAATGGAGGAAATGCTGTTGTTATAACAAATTTAGGCACTAAGATCTTAGAATTGAACCTGAGAAAAGCATCAATAATTATTATTGGATTTCCATTAAATTCAATCAATAAGGTGAGAATTAAATTACAATAGGTCAAGGCAGGTAAGCTAGCTACTGTAAACAGCATGTAATATTGTGTGTAGGCGTGTAGCCACAAGGGTCTTTTCCCCCTCTTAGACGTTTTAGGCCGTGCTCTCGCTGCAATTCAAACGTTTAAGGCGGGGACAAGACCCTCCTAGCTACACTCCTGATTGTGAGCATTGTGTGAATCCTTATAGATCCTAGAGATACCGGTCTCTAATGGGAATCGAACCCATGTCCTCAAAAAAGAGGGTTCCATTTATCCAGTCTCGTGGCATAGAAGCCACTGGCAGATTTACCATACATGAAACATTCCGAATAGCACAAGTCGGTTAATTGATCAGAAATCCGGCACCAAGCTAGTGTGACCTTGGTATGGTGCTGGCTTATATTTATTTCTAATCGATTTCTAATCGATTCACAACTGCTTGAGCACCACATGCTAAAAACACAATCACTTGCTCTTTACAAACGACTTAAGACTTCTTAGTTGATAATCTCTAGAAGCTAGTTATCCTCTAAAAACAGTCACTAATCATTAACAAACATTTCCAGTGGAAGATCTCAAAATTAATAGTCGATCAACATCATTCAACCGTTTGGAATCACATGGCAAAAATAATATGTATTGTTCCTCATGATGCATCCTATACTCAACGAATGACAATTCTTATTGCATTTAGTTATTCGGGATTTTTAAATGTCGCAATCGTCCACAAAGCAGTCAATGATAATATTCAATATGAAATAATAAAGTCTATGGCTGGTGAGGTCAAATTTCTTACAAATCCAAAGGACAGCAACTCAATATTTCCAGATAAGCTACAAAACATGCACGGATATCGTTACAGAGTTCCAATTTTTCAGCAAAATCCTCACATCGATCTCTTTGATAAGACGAAGATGCCAAAAATGATGCACTTTCTTAAGGCTGTTGGAACTATTCAAAACTCAATGACGTCTTTAATATTTTTACAAAATCATACGCTTTTTACTAATTATTGGGAAAGTCAAGCGATGGATTTAACAATCAACACAGCTGTTGTTATTGACAGTTCTGAACCAAAATTATTGACTTATGAGACTCAAGGCTATTGCATTTTGGCACCAATACCACAAAAGGCATCATTTTCTGACCTAATTCTTTACAAACCATTCGATGAACTCTCTTGGATCCTCTTTGCACTTTCAATTGCATGTTCTGTTGCTATTTGGAGATTCTTTCATGGTCGTGGTGCTGTCGATTCTCATTGGCAACTTGCTGTTGGTATTTTCATGATGTTTATTGGTCAAGGTGCTGATTTCTCTCGAAAGAATCGATTTGTGCTTGCTGTTCTGCTTAATATCATTTGCTTGGCTGTGTTCCTGCTTAGTACCTTGTATGAAGGTGTCATTACGTCCCACATGATTGAACCAGCTCATGAATATAGAATGAAATCGTTAAATGATGTTCTAGCTTCAGACTATGAGATTTTAATGGATGAATTATTTTATTCAAAGATCAAAGATGTTGATTCCTTCAAGGAAATAAAAACAAGAATAAAAGTAGGAAAAGAACTAAGTTCTGATCAATACAGGGAAGAAATCATTAGACAGCATTCTGTAATCATTAGAACTTGTGTCAATGCTGAATATGACATTAACATTGTAATGGAAAATGGCCATCCTGTGTCAAGCTACTATTACATAATACCAGAAAAATTTGCAGACCGCTATGTTCAGCTGGAAGCAAGTTACATGAATCCATTTTTGCAGCGACTTCAATATTTCATGGATTTATCATTTCAAGCTGGTCTGCATCACATTTGGGATGTCTATTCAACTGAAAGATATGCTGGAAGTCATGCAATTGAAGAGGAAAGACAGCTTTTGAAGCTGGAAGATTTTCATCAAATTTTTATAGTTTTGGCTGTTGGATTGGCATTGGCTAGTCTTGCCCTACTCATTGAAATATTCACACGTGACTGCATAAGGCATTTTAGTTTGAGTGATGTTCAAAATTGGTTTAAGCTTGTTTGTAGCAGTTGCTTTAAGAAGCAAAAGGGTCAAAAAGTAAATGTCAGGAAGATTATGGTAAAGCCTTAAGGGGATTCCTGGTCAGAATCTTGAATCTATAGTTTGTAATTAAATTTCAATCATTAAGAGCATTGATTTGTGCTATTAAACTCAGCATGATCTTTTTTTGGACACCCCTCAGTTTGGCTGTCCATCGGTTTTGGTCGATTTTTGGTAAAAAGCTGGGCATGTTCTGACTGAAAGTGCGCAATTGGACCGACTCTCCTTAAATATAACTTAGTGTTTGCTTGGTGAAAATAAAATAATAAATTAAATTTTTAAAAAATCAATATTTTATTCACATAGCCAATAAATTTTAGAGGTACACAAGTAGATATTCACAGATATATGGGGTCGTTTACTAATGAGGTCTATCAAACAATATGATGTTATGCTTCACATCTCAAAAAATTGCTAAGCTCACTACCTGGGTTAAGGCAGATGAGAGCTTAAGGCATTCGAACTAAACCTTAAACGGTAATTACAACTCGACCCTCGATTGATAGACGTCAAATGTTGATAACCCTTATAGAATTCAAGCAAGATTATTTTATGTTTTTAAAAAAAATTGTAATTTTTTTGGTAAATTTTTATAAAATTTTAAAGAGCAAAACTAAGTTTGCATATAATTAAGCTAATAAAGTGAGTTAAAAATGAAATTTTTAGGAACAAAGTTGACCAAATTGATTCTGCAACCAGAATCGTTTAAATTGACAACCCTACTAAATGAAAAAAAAATGAAATAATGAGGCAGACCCGGCAACAATCCATAAAAAAAAAATCGCTTAAAAAAAGTACGAAAAAATTGATCTCGTTTCCTTAGACACACCCTGTCCCACAGCCTTAGCTACATTGTCATATCCATTTTTCTCCAATATTTCATCCAATTCCTTCTTAACTTTAGTCACAACTGGAGGTCCTTGATACACAAAACTCGAGTACAATTGAACAGCACTCGCACCGGCAAGAATTTTATCATAAGCATCCTGTCCACTTCCAATGCCACCAACTCCAATGATTGGAACTTTACCGTCTGTCAATTTGTAAGTATCTTCAATCATTCTCGTTGATTTTTCACGCAATGGTCGTCCACTGAGTCCACCAACTTCTTGTGCATTTGAGCTGCTTAGAGTTACTGATCTGTCGATTGTTGTGTTGGAGATGATTAGTCCATCAACTTGACATTCCTTTCTTTTGATCGTTTTGCAGATGTCTTTGAGTTCATCGTGCGTTAGGTCGGGTGCGAGTTTTAGGAAAATTGGTTTTGGTGTTTCCAGAGATGATTTTGTCTGTGGATGGTAAAGAAGTTTGAGGTTAAGTGGAAGGTTCATTGGTAAGTCGGAGCATTGACAGTTCATCCAAGGAAGCCATGAGACAAACTGTCAATTCAATGAAGCCCCAAGACAGTCAATTCATGAAATCCGTGAGACAGACTGTCAATTTAAAGAAGCCGTAAGACGCACTGTCAATTTATCCAAGCCATAGAACAGACTTCCAATCCAAGAAAGCCCTAAGCGACATTCAGTCTCGACCATCAGTAAAGACACTAAGAAAGATCCATAAATCCACAAAAAAATCTTACCTTATTAACTTCAGTCAGCAACTTCCTCAACGTCTCCTTCTGTTGCATGTCCCTCAGCCCAGGTGTATTAGGACTGCTCACATTAATCACCAAATAGTCAGCACACGGTGAAAACAGCTTCAATCCTTCAACATAATCACTTACTGGATCTTCTGACATTTTATTCTTTCCTAAATTAACCCCAATGACCCCATCGAACCTCCCACTAGCCCTCAATTGCTGAATTCTATGCCAAACTTGTTCATGTCCATCGCTGTTGAATCCATAACGATTAATGATTGCCTCATCTTCTTTGAGACGAAAGACTCGAGGTTTTTGGTTACCGGCTTGTGGCATCGGCGTGACACTTCCAATTTCTACAAAGCCAAAGCCTATTTGACTTAATCCTTCAATTGCCTCAGCATTTTTATCAAAACCGGCAGCAATTCCAATTGGATTTTTAAGTAAAATATTGCAGATGCTCGTGCCCTTAAAATAAGATTGACTTTCACTTTTGTGCTACTTTTTCTTTTAAAATTACACATCACTTACCAAGACTTCTGGATCTTTATAAGTGACTGGTGGAAGTAATTTCCATTTACAGACCAGAACTGCTAATCGATGTGCCTGTTCAGCTTCCAGCAACATTATTGATGGAATTAAAATTGTGCGAAAAAAGTTTTCATCATTTCTGTAATAAGAAATTCCAAAAGTGACTCCAGTTGCTGCCGTGGATATGAACACGAGCGATCGAAGCTTTCGGAAGAACTTTGAGGAACTCATGATGAGATTTGATGGAAATTTAAGATGAAAATGTTTAAATTTGATGATGAAAAATGTAAAAATGTCTTTGGAAACTCTGTCAACCTGACCGAATTGTTTTTGTTTATTATTTCTTTGGATGTGTGAGTGTGGGAAGCAGTAAGTGCTGTCTACAAGTGTTTTTGTTGATTTTTAAAAATAAAATGACAGTTAAGATTATTTTTCATGATTTTATTTATTGATCAATAATTTTTTAGTTCATATTCTTCAGCAATCAGCTGTGGATGGACCTAAAACCGCTCATTCCTTCATCTCGGCCAATCCTTTCACTTCCTAAGTATTTAGTAGCATTTAATCATTTCCTGCTAACCACTCCGCATGAATTCGACAAACTAGGCAAAACATAAGTTGCTGAAGCTTCATTGACTGGATTATAATAGTCCAAAACCTCAATATATCCTTCAAGTCTAGCTCCTTCCACAAAGTTACTTCTTATAGCACCAAACTGTATAGAAGTTTCATTATTTGTCATTTTATCAAAATAGAAAGTCACAACTTGTCCATTCTTAGCTGGTTCAGTCAATGTTACATCTGGTCCATTATACAGCCTATTATAAGCAAATCCTGATGGGAAAGTCACAGTTGCTATGGACATTCCAGTCGACTGACCAACAGGAATGAAGTTTAAAAGTAATTTGATGATAATTTGACTTCTGCACGTGTATGTGTACTTGTAAGTGATCCTAAATGCAGGCTGGAAGGAGACACTTTGCTCATAATAAGCACAAGTCAGGCTGATAATCAGATTTCCACTTCTAGCTCCACTTACATCAACATTGACTGAATTTGCTGTTTTATTCAATTTTACAGTTTGAACTGTCAATGCCAATGATGAATTGTAGTCGACATGAACTGGATCTCCAACATTTGGTGTTATTGTCAATTGAGCAGTGGTGGAAGGCTCAGGAACCAGTGCGTACTTACTAAGTGCATAAATAGCCATGACTGTGTCTTGTGAGGAGTAATAACCGCCTCTAGCATTGCTGATTCTGATCAAATAGTTTGCAATTTTTGCAGCATCATCGAGCCTCTCATTTCTGACCAACAGCAAAAGCAGACAGTAAGCTGTTGTCTCGACAGAGTCATAGTAAATCTCTGTAGCTGTTTCCGTTCTTGTCATGAAAAAAAAGTTCATAACATTGTTAGCTTTAGGACTTCCAGCTAGTTTTAAAGCATATGCAATTATAGCTAATCCATAAACATCAGTTCGGCTATGCCAATTGTCTTCTAAATAAGCAACAGCTTTCTGCTGCATATTCGAATATTCTGGAAAGTCTGACAAAGCTGTTGTGACGTAAATTGTTATATAAGCAGTCAATGTGATTGTGGCACCGGCACTTTGGAAAGTATAATACATTAATGGACTAGCTTCATAAAATGAGCCATTAGCTTGCTGTTGTGACTGCAAATATCCTAATCCTTTTTTTAATCTAGTCATATCAACTGTTACTAAATCTTTGGCTAGATAAAATCCTAATCCAGCATAAGCTGTCAACCATGTTGATCCTCTTGGCTTATAACTATAAGTCGCATAGGAACTGTCAGTTTTTGAGAAATTGCTTTGTAATGAAATTCCTAAATTGACATTTTTGGTAAGATCCAGAAGTAAAGTTGGTGTTAATTGATTGGTTCCTTTAAGATAAATCCAAATAATGATGTCAATGACTACTTTCAAGAGAATCTGTTCACCACACCCCGAAGGTATGACAATTAATCCTGTTGGTGCATTTGTTATTGGACGTGACATAATATCTCCTGTGTACGTAAAATTAGTGCTGATAAATTCAAGCACTGAGCTTGGAATGGAACAACTTAAAGAACCTGAATTCTGATATTGTCCAATATTTAATATTCTAGAATCTGTGCTTGTTCTGTAGACACCGATTGGTGTGATTCTTAAGACTCTATCGACTGTATCTCCTGCTAGTGGTCCACGTGCTTGAATTCTGAAGTTTATTGTACCAACTGCAGTTGCTCTGATGACAAATTGCACTCTTAGGTTGACATTGGCATAAGCTGTAAGTGTCCTGATGTAGGTTTCGCCAGAATCTGTTGAATAAAATAAAATTCCAATGATTCTTAAGCTTAACAAGCTTCTTCTGCAACATACCAATCCAGTCCGGCGATGATGTCAAGTCGATCTCATATTTTGAATCCTTATTGATGATAATCTCAACTTCCTGATCCTCAGTCACGAAATTATTAATGGTTATACCTTGAACTAATACTTCAGACACTTTTATCGAGTATGGAAAGTCAGTTGAGATTGTGAATGGCAGTAGAATGTCAACTAATGGGTTCGATTCCAGCAATCCAATTCCTTTATATCGACTCATTGATACTCCATAGACAATATAGCTTGCCAGATCTTGTGATGCAATTTCGGTGACTCTTTCACGTCCTCGTTCTCCTGAAAGATCGCTTTGGATTTTCCTGAAATAAACAACGATGAGATTTGGATTTTGGGAGGCAAACTGGGGGAGCTGGGGCTTAAATTTATGGCAGGTATGAAGTTTACTGCCAACCAGACGCGCAGCCAGGAGGGTCATGTCCCCCTTAAACGTTTTGAACCACAGCGAGAGCACGGCCTAAAACGCTTAAGAGGGGGACAATACCCTCCTGGCTACACGCCTGCTGCCAACCAAGCACCTTTCTTTTCAATGTAACAGCTTTGGCCACCTCTAAATTAGAGGCTCTAATGCCACACAATGTACAATGATCACAAAATTAAGGTCTACATGCTAGTATCCCTAACAGACAAAGAGCATGCTCGCAATGAGTATGCTCACTTAAATGTACTGACTGAGTTAACTCGTGAGCATACTCAGCTAATATATTTTAGTGAGCATACTCACTGAGAGCATGCTCTTTGTCTGTTAGGGTATGAGGCTGGTGTCAAGCCAGTATAGATTAAACCTGGTCACTTTCATCCTCAAGTCAGTCTGAAGATCATTTTTTCATGCTATTTGAAGCTTATGTAGAACTTACCCTTTAATGTCAACATTTTGCCATAAGATTGACTTGGCAAATGGTTTGGGAATGTTGATGCTTCTTGGAGGTCCTGATAAAGATGCTGTAATCGTCTGATTGAGCTTACTGGATCTGTTGAGTTGATTCAATAAAGATCGTCTTTTGTAGCTTAAGCTAGCAGGGTGTGGTGCAATGTTTGTGAAGATAAGAAGTCCATAATACTGTTGGGATTAAATTTTAATTAATTTAATGATGATGCTAATGACTTTTGAGCATGTTAAAAGATGGGACCATGTTCCTGCTAAATCTAGATCCAATTTACATGAGCCAAAACCTTTTCAGCAGTGAATAGTCGGCGAGTTAAGCATTGAAGTCTTAAGGTTACTTACATTTAATCGAAATTCATAGTCAGGTGGCTTACTTGTGCCTTGATTTGAAGCAGAGCTATAGAAATGCAAAATATTCTTGAAAATTTCGGATTTTGCCAAGTTATTTCCACTTCTTAGAGATTCAATTCTGTAAATAGATATAAGAGTTGATTATTAAGGCTGCTCAATGGCAAATATGTAACAACTAAACAAAAGACAGTCGACAGGTTCAATCTTAAACTGAGATGGTATATTTTTATATCAGTTTCAATTTTAATTCATCTAGGGATGTAGATTAACGGAGACTTTGAAAAGGATAGAATATGGGAACCAAGGTAGCTTTCAATTTGTAGTTTTTAAACTCATGGAAAGAAGCTGTTGATAAAAACAGTATTGCAATTGAAAAGACCATACAGACATCGCAAGTCAAGCGATCTTCTGGAATGTCCAAGGAAATAGGACTAGCATTTGATGAAGAATTACTTAGAGTGCAACTGTTGAACGGGAGGCGGAACAACAGACCAAGAAGCTGCAGGAAATAGCAGCTTTGGCCCAGAATTGAGTGCGATTCAAATGCTTTGTGGACGCCCTACGCTTCATAGTGGAGCAATAGGAACCCATCATCATCATCATTTGGTAAAGGAAATTAGCAAACTGTAGCCAGCGATAGAGCTAGTTTAAGCGGACAACTGAGGGAGGCCGTGGATCACAATTGACCTGTAAGGTCATCGTTTAAGAAATTTAATTTCTACTCTAAAGTAAAGGACATCAATTATTGGTTCAAACCTGACCCCGATAGCCAAAGATACCACTTCTAGGTTTATAATCAGAGAACTTAGTTCAAATATTTTAAATCAACTTACCTTTGATCAACAGCAAACAGTGACACTGTAGAATTTACATAGCTTTCAACATCAAGCTCAATCGTCTCACCTGGTTTTCGTTCTGAATTTGTCGGTGTAACTGTGAGCTGTAAAAAATATAAAGTTTAGTATATCCTGTTTAACATGATTTTTAATAAATTGGAACATGAACTCCTAATCAGCATATCCTCATTAAGTCAATCAATGAGCATAAGCTAGCTAGTCCAAAAATCCAAAAAAAAACTCAAGCTCAACTCACATAATTTCTCAAATCTCTCATCAATTCAACGCTTGTAGAAGCTGTGACTATCCTTCCATCATGCCTCACAAAATATGCAATGATGCTAGAAATTGGTGCGTACGCAAATGTTGGCTTGAATGTAAAATTAGCAGTTTGGAAGATTTTAGTGTCATCTATTGTTATTGGAACTTCGATCGTTTCAAGCAGCACATCCTTGGCTACAATGATGCAAGTGACAGCTTCAACTGTCTCATTTAGTGTTACTTGAACTTCAACTGTACTTTGAATTGCTGGTCTGTAAATTTTAATTGTCAAAAAATGCCCAAATAATTAAGATTAAACGTTCTTACTCTCTAGATATGACATCGACACGCATCGTTGACCTCCTTGTGTTATTCACAGTTCCAAGAAGTGGTAAAGCTAAACCAGCATTAAGAATAGCTTCATTTGCATCATCAGCTGTTGCTTTAATCACAAATGAGGAAGTTTCCAAAGGAACATTAAAAGAATTAAAAGCATATCCATTGTCATCAAGTTCCAACGATTGTGAGACACCCAATGCCTCAATATTGACATTAACAGTCATTCCAGCTGGTGCTGGAGTTCCATCATATTTAACAACCACAACACAGTAATTAAAATTACTTCCTGGGACGAGATATGGATCTCCAGTCAATACAATGCTGTAAGCTTTTGGCAAAGTCTCAAAAGTAGTGAAATCAGTCACAGTTGTGTTTGTCAATTGATCATAATATTCTAAACGGACATCATAGCTAAACACTTCTGACTCAGCTGCCCTCAAGTCATAAAGTAAGTCTACATCAAAGTTTCCTGTATTTTCAACAATATCAATATCCACTCGATAATATTCAGTTCCAAATCTTTCAAAAATTACTGTCGCAATTCCAACAACAACATCGTTGAATGAATATTTTGCATTTATTACCACTGGAAGTATGGCATTGGATATGGGGACTTTTGATGGTATTGATAGGCCTGCATATATTAAAGGAATCGTGCTTTCAGCTACTTCAATTTCCTTTTCTCCAATCTGGGAATGTAAAGAGAGAATTTAAATTTGTTGTTGTAAAATGGAAAAGGTTAAGGTGCCTTCACACTTAAATTTTAATATTCAGGTGCCTTCTCACTTAAACAAGAATTTTGAGGTTAAAAGGGCTTTACACTAAAGTTCTAAGATTCAGATGCATTCGCATTTTTTTAAATTTAAGGCGCCTTTGCACTAGAATACTAAGTTTAAGATGTGTCACACTAGATCTCTACTGTTAAGGTGCCTTCACTCCAAATTTTTAAAGTTCAGGTGCTTTCATGCTATAATAAAAACGTTAAGGTGCTTTCACATAAGATTTTTGTGCTCAGGTGCCATTACACTAGATCTATTCTATTCAGGTGCCTTCGCACTAGGCTTATTATGTTCAGGTGCCTTCACACTAGACTTATTCTTTTTCAGGTGCCTTCACACTAGATTTAATCTTTTCAGGTCCCTTCACACTAGATTTATTGTATTCAGATGCCTTCACACTAGACTTATTCTGTTCAGGTGTCTTTACACTAGACTTATTCTGTTCAGGTGCCTTAACACTAGACCTATTCTTATTCTTTTTCAGGTGCCTTCACACTAGACTTGTTCTTTTTCAGGTGCTTTCACACTAGACTTATTCTGTTCAGGTGCTTTCACACTAGACTTATTCTGTTCAGGTGCCTTCACACTATACTTATTCTGTTCAGGTACATTCACATTATACTTATTCTTTTTCAGGTGCCTTCACATTAGACTTATTCTGTTCAGGTGCCTTCACACTAGACCTATTCTGTTCAGGTGCCTTCACACTAGATTTATTCTTTTTCAGGTGCATTCACACTAGCCTTATTCTGTTCAGGTGCCTTCACACTAGACTTCTTATGTTGAAGTATTTTCACTACGGATTCTTTGAGGTTCAGGTGTCTTTACACTTAAATTTATGGTGCCTTAACATTATACTTACATCATCTCCACATTGAACTTCAATTTTCCAAAATCCTAAAGTTGGGCTGCTCGGAAGTTGCCACTCAGTCTGATACCTTCCTTTAATGAATTGAACGTCAGTCACATTAGACACAACACTGCCGCTACCATCTCTTATTACGACAGTTGTTGGATGTCTAGGATTAATTGCTCGTGTTTCAGAATTGATGGCAAAAACACGGAATCTCAATAGATCATTAGAAAAGTAAAGAGATTTGTCGGTTTGGACGAGGAAGGCGTAGTTGTTGGTGCTGTAATGCAAGGATTTTACTTCTGAGTAGTCTTTTGAAGTGACGGTAAAGTTGTAGGATCCTTGAGTGAAGTTGAAGGTCTGGAAATAAAAGTTGAATTGTAGAAAATTTACAAAAATATTCAACAACTTACAATAAATTGAATCAAAGCTTTGGGCCTCGATTCTGAAATTACAGCTGACTTTTTCTTTTTAACTTCGATTCCAGTATCGCTGATGCCAGAAATTTCGAGATTTACATTTAGAGTGTCACTCAAGCTGAATCCTTTTACAACAACATTAAAAGGTTTACCACGACGAATTGAATGAGGCGCTACGACAGTAAAGTCACTAAGGAAGGAAATAAACAGTTTAGAAACAAATGACTAGATTTTAAGATTTAAGAAGCTCACTTCGATGCTAAGGACTCCAGTGACAAAACAACAACAAAAAGTAGTAACTTAATTAATTTCATTTTAGCTTTAAGCTACTTAAGAAGTTCCACTAATGAAATGTAATTCAAAACTGATCAATATGTGGCAATTGCCATCCTTTATATAATTCATGTTTTTGCTGCCAATCCTGTCGTGTGATTGAAAATCTCACGAATTAAAGTTCATCGACTTTTAGGAAAAATTTTATTGCTTTATTTTTAAAATTGAACTATTTTTTTATTTTCTAGTTTTTTATCTTTATAGCTTTCATGTTTTGGAATAGTTTTCACACCTAAGTCAAGTTCACGTTTTATCGTGATATCAAAAAAGTTCATTAAATTATTCACGTCCTCAACTTTGATCGCCCTTTAAATACTTCAAACCTGGCCAAATCGACAGAAGTTTAGTTCCATTTGCTGAGGAGTTGCCATCAACTAAAGCCATGAACTTTCTTAAGTTCCTTTCAATATTTTACCTTATTTTGCTTACTGCTGACTTGGGAAGCTTTCAAGCATGTCCAAATTGGGATCCAACGATCATGAGCTGCTCAACAGGCTTTGCTTTTAGCTACACCACTTGTACTTGTGTTCGAGTCACAACAACAAGAGCGTCAACAACGACTAGGACGACAACTAAAGCTCCTACTGCAGCTCCAACATCACCGCCAACAACAGTTGATCCAAGAAAAGCGTTGGAACCTCGAATAACAACTCTTTTGAATAGCTTGACATCACTTCAAGCTACTGTTAATTCTGCAGTTGTTCAAGATGTTACATGCAAGGACCTTATTTTATCAGACTTGGCATCAAACATAACAGCTATTCAGACATTGCAGTCAAGTCTTTATAATGTTTCATTCAGTCAAGTTTCCAATACTTTAACATCTTTGGAAAGCAGTTTAAATGCCATTAGGAGTTCCTGGACAGAATGTCAGGCTAGAACAACCACAACTAGTACAACAATAGAACCAACAACGACAGAAGATCCAAGAAATAATTTAATACCTGAAATTGGGCAGTTATTAGATTTTTTGACAGAATTTCATGATTTAGTTAATTCATCAATTATTCAGAATCAAGCATGCAAAGACAGCCTTTTAGCAAGTTTGCTGACAAACATCACCTCTATTAGGCACTTACAGGATAATCTTTACAGCAGATCCTTTATTGAAATTTCTAATACCTTAAATAGTACTAAGAATAATATCAGCGTATCGACAA